TATTCCAGTTCCTCTATAAAACATAATTTTCTTCGTCCTGTATCTGCTTTTATTTTTTTCCCTTGCTTAAGATGCTATTTTAATACCATTTAATAGAACTAGGGTGGCTTTCATCTTATTCAATCTGATTTCAACCTGCAGTCTTTTTACTTGCTGGCTGAGTGTAATGATTCCTGGATTAATTAGAGTAGTAGATTACACCATGAGGCGAACTCTTAAACACAAGCTCTCTTGAGAGAACCTTGTGCAATAGCCTTCTGCAATTTAATTGCCTATGTGGTAACGCCACTGGGTGTCAAATATTTTGTGCATTGCTTCATCTCCTTTATTGTGATCACCTCCCACTAAACTGTCTTTTGCTTGTGAAATTCTATATGCCACATACCTTTTTCTTATTTTTCCCTGTTTAATACATGGCATTTACAATTGAAACTTGTAATTCTTTGGTTCCTCATCCTGAGTATCTAAAATTGAGCATTGTAGGTTGTCAATGCTCCTCGAGGACCCGTTGAATCTCCTAAGGACAAATTTGAAGTATTCTATATTGATTATGGAAATCAAGAAGAAGTAACTTACAGTCAATTACGGCCTGTTGATTCATCTGTGTCTGCTGCCCCTGGTCTTGCTCAATTGTGCAGCCTTGCATACATAAAGGTTCCAAACTTGGAGGATGATTTTGGTCAAGAAGCTGCTGAATATCTGAGTGAGATGACTTTAAACAGCGGGAAAGAGTTCATGGCCAAGGTTGAGGAAAAAGATACCTCAGGAGGAAAAGTGAAAGGACAGGGAACTGGCACAATTCTTGGTGTAACTCTTGTCGCTGCAGATGCTGAGATCAGCATTAATGCTTCCATGCTTCAGGTTTTTTTCTTGTAGCTAATTCTTTAGCTTTTAGAGCCTTTTCTTTTTTTCTTTTTTCTTTTTGTCCCAAATGCCATTAGATCAAGAAAGATTTAAACCTTTGATATGGCCACATCTCAATTTACTCCTGTCGCCTGAGCTAGTCTAGGCGGTTTTCAGAGGGCTCCCCCCCCCCCCCCAAAAAAAAAAGTGTGCGCATACCCTAAACATGCAAAATCCAATCTTCTGAACTTTGATTTCTTTCTGTGGGACTTCCAGGAAGGACTTGCTAGGATTGAGAAAAGAAATAGGTGGGACAGAAAAGAAAGACAGCTTGCCCTTGATAATTTGGAGATGTTTCAGCAAGAAGCACGAACTGGCAGGCGTGGAATATGGCAGTACGGAGACATCCAGTCAGATGATGAAGACGGTGTTCCTCCGCCAAGAAAGGCTGGTGGTCGAAAATGAATGTAATTTAAGGATGGGAGCTAATTTATGAGATAGAGCGTCTTTGAGAGAAAATGAGTGGAGGTATAGGCCATATGAACATTATGCTTTCGGGTTAGCGAGGGGAAGGGAAATGCGGTGCGTGAACCTTAGTTTTGTTTTGCCTCTGTTTTTATTTTTATATTTTAAAATTTTGTTTGTTAGGTTGAGGGGACAATTTTTTCTATAATGTCATAATAAGGTACATGCGGCAAAGTTCATTGTTACCATGGGGGATTCTAGAGACGAAGTTTCAGTTAAAAATTGTGCATGCTTGTGTTTCTTGATCTTTACAAAGCCGTTATCATGGGTTTTGCCGACCTTCTCATTAAAATTGGTCATAATTAGAAATTGTCATGGAAATGGTTCATATGCAAAATGTTCATCTTCTTCAACAAAGCATGTGTTACCCTTGAGGCGGTAGTAGGAGAGATACTTCTTTGTTGGGCAAATTAGGCCTGCACATGGGACGGGACCGGGACAACCCCGTCCCGTGTCCCGTCCCGGTTAACTGATCGGGATGCATTTTGCATCCCGCGTCCCGTCCCGCATCAGGAAGGCATTGTGGATAGGCTTCAAAGTGGGCTACACTAATGGGTTTATGGTTACAATGACCTGGTCCAAAACCTTAATTTCCTGCTAGTACCCAATGGGAATAAATTGGGCTGAACTAAATCCATTGGGCCTATGAATTTTTTGTTGAAAGCCATAGACCCTCCAAACACTTGAAACACACGAATTACACTTCAAGAGAAGGCAGGCCGCAGGGAATTGGAGACCGACAGACAGTAACAGGGCAAGGCGGCAAGCATCAAAGCAGTCAAGCAGGTGGGATCGGGCATGATGAACGGATGGAGAACAAAGTTACTTACCTGGTCCTGCTGGTTGCTTACAGAGAGTGATCGACGGAGCAAGCGACGGTGGAACCTGCGACCCGCAAGCCTGCGATTGATCAACGATGGCACCGAGCAAGGGGCTGGAAGCTCAGATTCAGAAGCTGAGACCGACAGCAACAGGCGAAAAGCTTAGATTCAGAAGCCGAGACGAGAGAGAGAGAGGCGAGAAGCTCAGATTCACCGATTCAGAAGCCGGTGAACAACAGTGAGCAACAGTGACTCGATGAGGAGCGACGGTGAACCAGTGAGGGTGAGCGACGGTGACTCGATGATGAGCGACGGTGAGCGACGGCGAATGAGCGATCTCTGACACTGTGAGTCTGTGAGCGATGGTGAACGCGCAACGCAACCATGGAGATCTCAGCTTTGGACGCTGAAGGAGGAGGAAATGAGGAATTGGGAATTTGGAACACTGAACAAGTGAACATTGAACACTAACACTCTAAGTCTCTAACATGACTCGGGGTCTCACTCTCCGTCTCGGTAATTAGACAATCATAATAACAAAAAAAAATTATTAAAAAAATTTTAAAAAAAAAACGGGACGGGACGGGACGTCCCGAAGGCTAGCCCGAGTCCCGTCCCGTCCCGGGACTTTTACTGTCCCGGTCCCGGTGGTGTCCCGTCCCGGCCTCACTCGGGACGGGACAGTCCTGTCCCTAAACCTCCGGGACGGGTTCCCACTTGAGCACCCCTAGGGCAAATAGCAGAATAAAAGATTGGCAAATCACATTTCAGGCTTCATCTGTAGCTTTTGCTTCTGCGCGTATCCGAGGCATGTCTCTTGTCCTTCGACCTTTTTGTTTCTGACGTGCACTGCAGATTGCAGAGCAATCCTATCCCTATGTGATGCAACCGCAAAAAGTTACAAATATTCGGATGCATGGTGTTGATAAAAATCTTCATAATGGCAAAAATGTCATGACGCCTGATTATTCGCAATCCACTTCTAATAAGATTTCCTTAAACCACTACAGGTATTTCACCTATGCCTTTTCCTGATATGAAGTGGACCCCTCCTGTTGGAAATACCCTGAAGATCAATTCTGATTGTGTCTTTAGCTTAGAAAACAAGTTGGCTGCCTCTATTTTCTTGGTTAGAGACTCAAACGGAATGTTGCTTGCTGGAAGAGCTATGATTACTGCTGCTGATTTTGCACTAATGGCAGAAGGAATTGCTCTTAACGATGCAATGGAGTACTCAACTGAAAATCAAATTGATGACGTGCAATTTGAGTCAGACAATCAGATTCTTGTCAACTGTACTAATACTCAACAAGAGCTTCCAGACTAAAGATGTGTTGCTATCCTTGATAATATCTTGAAATCAAGAAAAATGTTTAGGAACCATGTGGTTAAATGGATTCCTAGAGAAGCTAATGCTGCTGCTGATTGGCTTGCTAAGGCTATGCTGGATGGGTCATTCCTAGATGATTGGGTTTGAAGACCACCCGCTCCTCTTTTGAAAATTTTGCATCATGATGCTCATGGGGTTAACATTGATCTAGGATAGTTACTGGTGTTTTGCATGTCTTTAGTTCATTTTGACAGCTTTATTTTCTTTCTTTGTTTCATTTTGCTTGCACGTGAGACTTGTTTCTTCTCTTGATTAAATGAAATGGAGATATTCAGGCAAAAAAACTAAAAATAAAAATTTCAGCTATGCCTTTCCTGTGACACTTGCATTAACGCTGCTATATTAAGATGCGGGCTTTTATCACATTGGTCATCGTAAAATAGTGTGATTTATTGATTTTCTTTTACAAAATCTCATTTATACCTATGCCGAGTGTGAAAATTCTTCGCTTGGCTGTGTGTTTTTGCCAACTAGTCGTTGTTGGAAGGGCATTTGGGCCATTTATGCGTTCGGTTATTTAAAACCCTTTTTTAAAAATAAAAGTATATTTTTCATAAAAGTAACTTAGCTTTTTTTTTAAACTCTAAAAAGACGTCATGTAGGCTTTTGCCTTCTAAATGATTTTTTTCAAAAAAAGAAAGGGCTATCTTAATATGTCAACAACAATAGTCAGCCCAAAGTAATTTTTTTCATATGTCGTAGATAGTTCAAATTTAGAGTATATGCAAATGCTGGTGCTTGCTGGTCCAAAAAAGAATATGCTGATGCTGGCCCCAAACAAAAAAGTGGTATACGTACATAGTACATTTTCTGTCTTTAATATAAAACTTAACGAGACTAAATGAAAAAAAATTAAACAAAGTACTTAATTAGTATATGGTAGATAATATCTTTCAATTCTAAAATGCTTATGTATATTATTAAATTATATATTAATAAATTAAATAAATTAATTTTAAAAAATAAGTATTTTAAAATAATTTATTTAGTTTTTTTAATTTACATAGTGTATTCTTTTTTCTTCTGAAATGTATCTATTTGTTATGTTAAAAATTGAACTGCTAGTGTTGGAAAATGTGAGGATCATGATGACGATGAATCCGGATTCTAGTGCCGTACCTTATGAAAAGCATAACCTACAAAGACAGTCAATCTAGTATCTTATTGGCACCTTGGCCGACAGAGATTCTGATGTGATTTAACGCTGGCAGGCATGCCATACAAGCTTTTGTTCAATATCAACACAAAAGAGATCCAGTCCCTTCAGTTTCCACGGCCAATAGACACCCATCACAGTCCTATCTCTCTCAAGGCACTGTGATTAATCCCAGCGTGTGTTGTATTTCTATCAATGGCCATCGAAGAAAACTAACCTTCAAGGTTCTTTTGTCTTCCGGACTTCGTCTTCCGGTTATCGGCCGGAGTCTAGAAGGAAAACTACTTATGTTCACGCTCTCCAGCCAGAACTTGCTGATCATTAAACTCAAAACTAAGGTTTTGTGGTTGACAAAAAAGCAATGCGGATGCCTATGTTTTTCTCCTGTTTTAATTTCTCCCCTCATTTCTTTTTTTTTTTTTTGGGTTTTCTTTTTGGCACACAAGCGAGTTGCTGACATTTGCCTGGAGCACAAGCAAGCGTAGATGAGAAAATTGTGTGAGGCCTGTGCCCAGAAGTGCCTTCCGATTCAGAGAAAGAGAAAAAAATCGTCAAATGTACCTTCTTCCTTCTTCAAGGTCATGATTGGCCCCGATTTTTCTCAAGTTTTGGTACCATTACTTCTTCCACCAACATTCTCTCTTGATATACTTCCTCTTATGTTTTGTTAAACATTATTCCTTCAATGCCAGACGTTATGATTTAGGTTCAGGCTCATCTTTAAGCTATAGTAACCAAAATATCTACCTTAACTTTTGGGTTTGTTGCTTTGTCCTCTTGATGTTATCACAATTGCGCACACAATCATTGCTTTGATCTGTAGTTTATAATTTAAACTGCGTTGTAAAGAACCTCATGTTGTATATTTGATTTGATATGCCTCTTCTGCTTCTGTAACATGTCCAAGTAAAGTAGTTCTTACTGTGAAATTTGATATGCCTCTTCTGCTTCTGTAACATGTCCAAGTAAAGTAGTTCTTACTGTGAAGTTAGGAACATTGATTAAAAATTACCTGGTAGTGGAAGGAATTCTAATCGTCCACATTCTGCCCCATCGATTTAATTTTTCTTCTGCTTTTCTGATTTTTGAGGATATCATGTGTATTTGTTCTTTGAACATGCTCGCAGTATCTGCCTCCTAAATTTGGTCGCACAGCGTCAACCCTGGTTGACGAAGAAGCCATTGTTGAGGATTCGAGTGGACAACGATGGACGGTACAAATATCAGTTGTGGATAATTCTTATGCTTTTCACGAGGGATGGAATGCTTTTTCGTTGGATCATGGGCTTGAAGTTGGACACTTTTTGGTGTTCCATTACATGGGAAGATCACACTTTGTTGTTGAGATTTTTGATAAATCTGGGTGTGAAAAGGTTGATTTTCCCGGGCGGAGGAAGCAGAAGAAGAGAAAAAAGATCAGAATTGACCTTGATGCTAGCGAGGAATTGTTAAACAGACAAGGTTTATTATCCTCGGAGTCAGATGCGGAAAAAGTGCAAAGCCAGGACGAGGTTGTTGGAGCAAACAGTGCAGAAATTAACGAAGAGAAAACCTCAGAAAAGAGGATCCAATCTTTGTACCAAGACAAAACCTTTGAAGATCCTTGTTACTTGAAAGACCAAGACATTGAAGACAAAGAAAGAGAGAACAGGAGTCCTATGTTTGATGTCAGGTATGAAATATTGAACAATTCAGGTGCTCACAGGACCGGCAAAATTACAGGCAGCAATGAAATAGTTGTTACAAACATCTATACCCAAGATCCTTTGCTTGAAGAGATGATGGTTAATAATGGAGCAAATCAAGATCCGTTTGAAGTTGAAGTAACAAAAAGAAGTCATTTTCTTGAAGAGTTAGACAGGAGTACATTACATCCTTGTGGAGCCAAGATTCCTGAGCATCTTTTGATCCCATGTACCGTGCAACATGAAGAAACCAGAGTAAACAATCTCATCATGCCCAACTGGGAAGACCAAAAGTGCCAATTTGCTGAGAACTCAGGTAACACAGTCACTGGAGTAGCTTCATTTTGTCTTCCACAAACTGTGTTATTAAGATATCAAATAAGGGTTAAGATATAATTTTGCCTCGGGAGTTTTTAAGTACGAGGTGTGAATATCCAAAAGTTTTTTTTTTTAAAATTAAAAAGAAAGTGTTAAAAAAAGAGCAAATTTGCCTAATCATTAAAAAATTAACATTAACAGTTAATTCCTGTAATGGTTAGGGGCAATATTGCTCTTTTTTTTTTTTTAATAAATACTACCAGGTGTTATTGATTTTTTTTTTAAAAAAATTTCGGATACAACTTTTACGTGAAAACTTTCAGGACAAAATTCAAACCGTACCTTGAATAGCAAAGCTTGCTTTATACAAATTGCAAGTTTTAAAGTTTTTCTTGGGATATATTCATCACATATCTTACATTCTGTATATTGATTTTTTCCCCTTCCTTTTTTGGTCTCTTTATCAGAGACCAAGCAATTATTGATATCGAAAGATGAATATCCTTTGCACGCTGGCAATTGTGAGGATACCAAAGAGATGATCGCTGGGTTGCATGTGTCCCTGGATGCTGCTCCTATGTGCAATGGTATGTGTTTCTTCTCACTGCATGCGCCTAGATATTCGGATTGGACACTAATGTCATTTACATATGCCTTGGATTAATTAATCTTTCTATCTACAGTTACAGTGGAAATGGAGAGAATGTTTCAAAAAGAGCTCCTGGACATGACTTCAGATATGTGCAGTCACAATGATAAAATCCGGTCAATTATTGGAGATCAAGGCAGCAATTTCAGTTCAGTGAAAGCTGAACCTTCTGACTATGGTTGTCACTCAAAACTCCAGCCATCTTGGTTTAACTGTATCAACTGTACAGTAATTTTAAACTGCATGACGAAATTAAGAGTATGTGTGTATGCATATCATGAGCTTAGGGAAGAAATGTGAATCTCTGATATTCATGTGATTCTCATTTCTGCAGGATATGCCCACATGCCTGCGTTCATGTCAGAGATAGAGGGTAAAGACAATGTGACTGGGGATGCTCGTTCAGGATCCTGGGAGGAGACAAAGGCCGATCCTTTACCATAAGCCATTGAACTTAAGAAATCTGCACAAGTGGATGTAAGTAATATTAACCAGGACATATGTGCACTTTTGGGCAAGAGGAGTCATTGTGTATCTTTTTGGTTGCTGTAGATAGGGCAAAAATACCATGTTTTGTGTTACAGGTTCAAACTTGTGCTATGTATATGGGTCTGTTTGTGAGTTGTGTGTATGTACAAGACAGAGAATCTTCTCCCAATCCCTCAATTTCCTTTTTTTTTTTTGGGTATCAATAATAATCAATCTCCATCTCTTGATCATTTCTTCATCTTTAATACTTACTCATCAACCTTTCCCTTGAAGTCTTGCTGCTCCATTACATTAGTTCTGATCATAATTCGGGAAGAAACAAGCTATACAGGTTTCAGAAAGCAGTATCTCACAAAAACATGGTTGGTACTTCCAAGTTGTGGGTAGCTGTTCTATGAATGCCTAATGAAATGCGTGTTTTAGGTCTTGTTTGCTATCACAATTGAAATAATTTATAAACAAATTTTATATAAGTCGAGATAACTTTTTCTTACATATTTACTTCGTATTCCGTAAATTATAATTGAAAAGCTACTTATAAGTTATTCTAAACAGGTCATTAATTTGTCAGCTTAAATGAACCTCATGTCACTTAAGGTCACTAACTGGGAATGCCCCGCAAGCAGAATAAGGTTTCCTCCTTGGTTGGAATTTGGAAATAAATTGGTGTATTCTTCACAATTGAATCGTAGGCTTCTTGCATTTTATGAAGCTTGGAAAATAATATTCTTAATTTGTTATACACTTTAATAATACGTATATATAAAAAAATAATCATGTTATTAATCGCTTATAGATAGTACAGCTTATGAATCTCTATATAACTTATCATCATCAAGTTAGTTCGTTCCTCCAATCAGCCGCCGCGGTTGGGGTTTGGTCCAGTCGCCCCGGGACTTGTGAAAATAAGCCTCTCCATCTCTGCGTGACCAGATATGATTTCTCAATTTTCGTTCTTTTTTTAATCTTTTAAGAAAATAAATGTATGATATGAATCATTTACAATTTTTTGCATATATGTACACAATTTACTCAAATAACTAAAAAGAAGCATCCCAGAATAACAGGCATTAAAAATTTGGGAGAATTACAATCAGAGGATTTAATTTTCTTAAAATCATTGACAAATAAAACATAAGTAATGATAAATTTCAGAATAAAAACTAATAACAATCCACAGGTTCAGACTAATACTTGTTATTAAAACTTTTTGATAATATTTTTTTTTAAGATTTCCTAGTAATTCTTTCATAGTTCCACCCAAAAATTAAGATAGCATCTAAAGTTTATGAAAACATACAAGTACAACAAAAAGTAAATAATTAATTTACGTTAAATTTATACTACCTCTAATTTTTAATATAAAATCTTATTTGACTTTTATTTTGATCATAAATATAAGACCCTAATATATTTTGTCTCTCATATTTATGCATTTTTTTCAAGGTAGTCCTCCTAACAATGATAGTTACAGTCAATACATTTAATTAGTAAGGACATTTTAAGAAAGACAATATATTTATTATAAAGAACTAACTTTATTTTTTTTAATCTTTTCAAATTAGTAAATTAACTCTTATAATTAGTATTTCTCTTTTATCGTCTTTTATCATAATGTAGTGGGAATAATATTTTTGTCTGAAATTTTGCTCTCTCTCACACAAATATAAATAAACAAATCCTCGCCAACGTCCACAAAATGCTTCGGAGGAGCGGAAAAAAAGAATACGCGGCACTTCCGGAGGCTTCGGGGATTGTCGTGGGCGAATAAACTTTAGGACAAGTGTCCCTCAGCTTTCTCCTTACTGCTACGTGCCTCCAGAACTTTCTCTCTCTCAGTTTCCTCTGAAACTGTCTTCGCATCAGATGCTTCTCCTTCATTTATATACCCTTACTTACTTCTTAGAATCTTCACTGATCACTGCAACAAGCTACTGATTACTTCTCGGGTTCTCTGATTCTGACTTCTGACCTTTTCTACGCAATCAAGTTCCATTATTGTCTGCCCTTTTTGATCTGTATTAGCAATCATGGCTTCCTCGTCGACAGTATGTTCATCATCTTAACTTCCTGACTCCTTTTCTCCTTTAATATGTCATTTTTTTAATCCATATTTTGTTTCTTTTGGCGCAGATCGGGTTGGGAAAAGCACTGCTGAACAGGGGAATTCGAAGGTTGACGACGTCAACAACACCGAAGACGAAAGCATACGCTCCGGCGGCTGATTATGGCTACGCTCATCACCACCAGAAACGGGAACGGATGCCGGCGAAGGGGGACTTTGTGCCGGTGTACGTAGCGATCGGGATGATAGCGTTATCGACAGGGCTTGGGCTGGTCACGGCGTGGCATCAGCTGAGGACTTCGCCGACGGTGAGCGTGAAGAAGCAGAGGAGGGAGACCCTGCCGGAGGTGGTGGAGCCGGAGCACGTGGCGGAGGAATCCGAGAAGTTCTTCAAAGGATCTTTCTTCAGGAGAATTGCACATATTCAGGATAAGAACAACCCCGAGAAGCATGTCATCCCTGATCCTATCCGCAGCGATGCTTATGCTTCTCCTCGTAAAATTGAAACTCTGAAGTCTGTTGGAGTTGATCCTGCACAAGTCTGATCCTTTCCTGCCTTTGTCATGAAGTTGTATGTACATATTTGAAAAACCTCACGCAAAAAAAAAAAAAAAGAAGGCTGTTTGGAGCAGCTTTCGTCTCTTTGACTTGTTTTGAGACCAGTAGGAAAATAAGGTTAGGGATCTCAGTTTCTGTTGTATTAGGGTTTTTACTAATGAACACAAGGCAGTGTAATTATGCTCTGTTCCCTCCGACCTTGTAATATATAGACACTTCTAAGCAAACTCCTGCGTCAATTCAGATTCATGCTATATTTTCGACGAGAGGTGGGAGAAAAAGTGAAAACTAAAGCTAAAATGTCTGGTTCAATGCCGCTGAGCTTATAGAGTGCAATTGGATCTGAGTTGGGCGAGGGTGAATGGAAATTAGATGGCACTTTCCTTACTAGAAGTGGCTTCCATGTAGATTTTTGAAGTGGGGGAAGTTGCACATATTGGTTTGTAAGATTATAGGTAAAAGAATTAATGAGAAGTGTGGCTAAAGTGGGGGGAGTCATGTGAGTTTTGGAATTCTTTTGGTCAAGTTTCAGAGCTTTGATGTTTACGTCAAATAGCAGTCACAAGAATTCCCTCCAATATGAGACGCGAAAAATGGTGGGATGCCTGTATTATCTTATGAGGGTGACTTCATAAATTCCAAGTTTTATAAGAAGGTTGATTCTCTGTATTTAAAATCTAACCTTTGGTGGACACAACTGAATTGCGCTGTTTTTCAGATATCTCCAATTCCTTTGTTTGGCCTGGGTGGAGGATCCTCCTTGAAGCGGAGGAATCTAGGATCATGCATATGAAATTGAGGATTCATTGAAAGTAGCTTCAATTGGTTGAGAACAAGATAAGGAAAATGATTTGTTGATACGTCTTGGAATTAACTTGCTGCCATCAAAGGAATATACAAGTCAACCACAGCACACTCTGTTTCTGTGTAGTACTCTGTTTCTTGCCTTGTGGAAACCCAAGTTCTTCTGAGCTCTCTCCCTCAACAGCGAGCTTCTCTGTGAGAACAAGCTCTTGATGGGAGGGAATTCAGAAGGCGTTTGGTTTTTCAGAAATCAGAATTCAGGGAGGTGAACTCATGCTTCTGTGTATTAGCTTCTTCTTTCTCCTCTTTTGGTCAGCCCTCGCATCACAATCTCTCTAAGCTCCTCTGTTTCCCCAGTGTATGGAATTCGATGATTTAAGGAACATCTAATAAATCTCAATATTTTTTTTTAAACATTTTTTTCTTGTCTTTAAAACTTAGTGTTAATTTATGTCAATGAATTTTGATGAGCTTGCAATTTGTACCTGGTAAAAAAAAAAAAAACTTGCAATTTGTAAGATTTAGTTGATTTTCTTACTTTACTAACAGCGTAATGCATAGGTGATAATAGACATTTTAAATTATACTTTGAATACAATATTAAGGTGTGTTAATTTAAAAAGATTTAAAAATTAGTTTAGTTAATTATTTATAATAAATATGAGCTGGTTTTGTTAAAATATGCTTTTAATTATGTGTATTATAATAACTTCTTGATAAAAACTCTACCTGATGTTTAGAATTTAAATAAATCTCTTGTCTGGTGTATTCACCACAACTAAAGATAGCATATCATTTTATTTGGTGTAATTTAGAGTATTTTAAATCATTTTAAATTTGAGCATTAATCTCTATTAAGTTAATAGTGTTAAAATTAAAGCCTTTATCATAAGTGTATTTTTCAAAATTTGAACTAGTGTTTTCATTACCATCTTAATCAACAACTTATTGATAAGATGATACTAATTTTGATGGGGTTGAATTTGTCTTTAAATATAAGAGTTCAGTCCTCCTTGTCTTCCATTCCCAAAAAAATAAAATATTTATATTGATTGCATGGGATTTTCACCAAAGAAAAAAAATCTAAATCATCCTATGCATATAACTGAAGAGGCTAATTTAGAAAAATTAACATAAATATAAATAACTAACTTAAATAATTTTTTTTGTTCATATTTTTAAATTAATTATTTAATTTAGGAAGGATTGGGGATTCAGCTGAAATCTTCGTGACCCAGACAACGAACTCAAGGACCAACCAACCTTCCTCCAGGCTTGATGAGTGAGTCACTAATAACTGTTTATCCGAATATACGGGCCCATGGGCCGTACATGGAGCCCATTCAAACTCTCAGTTGGGAAAATACTCGTAAGATTAAAATGAAAAATATCCGAGGTTTCATATGGACAGCGGAAGGAATGATGCATTTTGATTACGTGGCAGGTTTCTATTGGATGATGTCTCGTGGCATGTGAAACCATTGGCTGAGACAGCGCGAACTGAGTCTCACGGAGATCTATAAAGTAGAACAGACCGGTAATACCTTCATGTTCCAAGTTCGAATTCTGAGATCTTCCAGATCTCTTTTGTCCGAGTTTTAGGGTTTTACTGTGAGCTTACCTGTGAGGTAGTCGGAAGAATTGAGGGCGATGGGAGAACGGAAACGGATCCCTATGGGGCTCGCTGTGATGTTCCTACTGTTTGCTTGCTCTTCGATTCAGTTGCTTTCTGCTTCCGACGATAACGATGATGCGGTAATGGAAGCTCAATTTCGTGGTTTATTTGTTTTCTTCTTCTTTCTGTTTTTTTTGGTTCCGTTAAGCTTGATCTGTGATTCTCTACAAGTCTAATTGGCGAATTGTTGGCGTTTAATGTGGTTTAGATCTTCTACGAGTCGTTTGACGAGAATTTTGAAGGGCGTTGGATTGTGTCCGGGAAGGAGGAGTACAATGGTACGTATCTTCCATGACTTACTTTTATTTTTGGTAGAACACAAATTTTTCTTTGTGGTCGTTTCGAGGATTGCTTCCAATGTTATCTCATGCGAGAAAATTGGCTTCAGTTCTTACGGTTTGTAATTCTTGTTTTCAAAATATTCTAACACGTTTCTTTGATATTGGATAACATATGTTATCGAAGTTGAAACAAGCTATGTAATCATTGTTTATCGACTCAATACTCACTTGAGTGGTAGTTTAAAATTATTAGTAGTTTAAAAGAATTTATCGTCCAACCTAGTCTCGTGCCACTTGTAAGTCTGAATCCACATTTGCGGCTGCATGTGCTTAGGAAATGGTTAACAGGGCAACAGACCGAATGCCGATTTTTGGGAAACATGTATAAAACGAAAACGGATCGTGGATTTCTAAATCTGATTTGAAAAAGTTCTTTGTTTAATTTAGATCAGTATAATTTCAGAACAAATAGTTAGATAATGTAAGGATTTGTTGTGAACCTATACCGAAGGCTGATTGTTTCTGGTTAGACTGCTTCTTCAATTATTATACCTGCACGAAACAAAATTCTAGGCGTGACATGGACCTTCCTCCAAGCTCAATAATTGATTACTTCTGTGTTCAAGCATTCTGCAAACTTGAGAAATCTCTCAATAATTATCATCAGAGTAGCACGAGGTGTTCTAAAAGTCCGACCATCCATTTTATATTGGCGTGGGTGTTGTATCTAGGAAACAGAAATTAGTGGGGCTGCTATTTATTTATCATCTAGTTTTAAATTGCGTTGTGTTATGATGGAATGCGTTTACGGTTGTGTAAACGGATATTGCTTTGGCTTGGTTAAATGCTCGTTTGAGCAGAAAGTTAATTGATCAATTCCTTCTCTGTTTGATTCACCCAAGTTTGAAACTTATCTGGATTTGCATTTTGGGTTTAGGCGTCTGGAAGCATGCTGCGAGTGAAGGCCACGATGATTATGGACTTCTTGTCAGTGAGCAAGCAAGGAAATATGCTATCGTTAAAGAGCTTGACAAGGCTGTGAGTCTTAAGGATGGAACAGTTGTTCTCCAGTTTGAGGCTCGCCTACAGAATGGCCTTGAATGTGGTGGTGCGTATCTCAAGTATCTTCGACCCCAGGAGGCTGGATGGATACCAAAGGGATTTGATAATGAATCTCCGTATTCTATTATGTTTGGTCCTGACAGGTGTGGGGCCACAAACAAGGTTCACTTCATTTTCAAGCATAAGAACCCCAGCAGTGGGGAATACGTGGAACACCATCTCAAGTTTCCCCCTTCTGTCCCATCTGACAAACTAACTCATGTCTACACTGCTGTATTGAAGCCTGACAATCAATTACAAATTTTGATTGATGGGGAGGAGAAGAAAACCGCTAATTTCTTGTCTTCTGAGGACTTTGAGCCTCCACTTATCCCTGCAAAAACCATCCCTGATCCTGAAGACAAAAAACCTGAGGACTGGGATGAGAGAGCTAAAATTCCTGACCCAAATGCAGTTAAGCCAGATGACTGGGATGAGGATGCACCCATGGAAATTGAAGATGAAGAGGCTGAGAAACCTGAAGGTTGGTTGGATGATGAGCCAGAAGAGATAGATGATCCCGAAGCCACTAAGCCAGAAGACTGGGATGATGAAGAGGATGGTGAATGGGAGGCTCCAAAGATTGATAACCCTAAGTGTGAAGAGGCTCCTGGATGTGGTGAATGGAAGAGGCCAATGAAGAGGAACCCAGCTTATAAAGGAAAATGGCATGCCTCTCTTATTGATAACCCCAATTACAAGGGCATATGGAAGCCGAGGGAAATTCCAAATCCTGATTACTTTGAACTTGAGAAACCTAATTTTGAGCCTATTGCCGCAATCGGCATTGAAATCTGGACTATGCAAGATGGCATTCTGTTTGACAATATTCTGATAGCAGACGATGACAAGGTTGCAGAATCCTATCGGGAGACGACATGGAAGCCTAAGTTTAATGTCGAAAAGGAGAAGCAGAAGGCTGAAGAGTCGACTGCCAGTGAGAGTTCAGGCTTCCAGGTAATAACAGTATATGACAATTTTTACTTCGTTTCTCTCTGTTCCTTACTTCTTTCTACACTCCTTTTCCTTTCTTCATATGCATTAATTAAATCAAATTTTTATTTTGCAGAAGAAGATATTCGATCTCTTGTACAAGATCGCAGACATTCCCTTCCTAAGCGCTCACAAGTCCAAGATAATCGTAAGTAAAAAGAAAAACTAATATCTTTCCATTTGGTACAATTGTCGGATGACATTTTGTCTAAACTCCATATTTTTCTCTGCAGGAAATCATTGAAAAGGGAGAGGCGCAACCTAATGCGACTATTGGAATTCTTGTGGCCATTGTTGCTGTCTTCTTGACAATTTTCTTCAAGATTCTGTTTGGCGGGAAGAAGAAGCCTGTGAGTTGTTGAACTCCTTTGTTTCTCTTTCTTGTAGGCCTAGTTTACAGATGGGTTCATTCCTGATCGCTATTTGCTTTCTAATGCAGGCAAAGGCGAAGAAGACTGCAGAATCCGCCGAGGCGTCCAATGAGCAAAGCAGTGAAGCGAAGGAAGAAAACAAAGAGGAGGAGGAAACATCTGCGGCTCCACGCAGGAGAACAAAGCGAGATGATTGAAATGATGGAAACAGTTAATCCCATATCATCAAAGCACATAAATTTTGAGGGTAAATTAGACATTTTATTAGGCTGAGCTGGTCCTTCTCTCTCTATCTCTCTCCGTTTTTTTTTTTTTAATATTTGGGGGAAGAATTGAGTATTTGAGTTACTTGACGCTGTACAATTTATTTTCTTCAATATTTCGAGTTAGAATGGAATACTTAGCACCATTCGCGTTGTTATGCGAGATGTTTTATTCCGACTTCTTTGTGCCAAGTAGGCTAAATCCTATCGAGTGTTTTCGGAGCCCAAAATATGCACGTTGGCCTTTATTTTCTGTCGCGGCTCCTTCTGAAGATTAAAAATTGCAAATTTCTCTCGTCTGCGTCAATTGAAAAATTTTCCTTTGCGCCTAAAAAATATTTTGATTGTTACATTTAAAGATGTAAAATGTTTTCTCTCGCAAATCTTGTTATGGTTATGGTGAATTATTATCTGTTATTGTTAGCGGAGACCCAGAAGTGGGTATTGCATGCCAAGGCTCTTGGTTATTGAATATTGATAGCCGAATGAGAGGTGAATGAGAATACTGTAAATTTTGTTGTTGCTTTAATTCATCTTAATTTTTTTTTTTGGTTACATAATCCATCTTAATTTTAATTCTTGATCATTCATTATTTAATGATTCAAGACAAATGTTATATTTGGTACGAAGTATTAAAAATGAAGGATAAAAATTAAAATTATGATTAAAAATATATGTTAAAAAGATGCTTAGTATAAATGATTTCTTATCATATAGAATCACGTAATTTCATATAAAATAAGATTGGAGAATATCACTTCTTTTTATGGTATTTTCTAATTCCATATATATAGATTTGTCTAATCCTAAATATCATACAATTACTTATATTAAGAGTTGTACACTTTCAACTCAATTCATATCCCTCAACGGGACCAAAGGTGTTGATTGAGACCTGGAGTAATGCTGATAAATTAAAAAGGTGGGATGAGGAAAAATGCAAGGTTTTTTTATATTTTTTTTGTTTTGCCAAGTGCAAATCTACAAATCATAAGATCACGATGGTTGACGGATTTGCACGGCCAATCAGCATAAATACAAATTAGTAATGGAAAAAGTATTTTTTATAATTAAAAATCTCAAACGCTGAAAATATCGCCCTAAGGCTATCATCAAAGCCTCCCTTTTATAAAATGCACTCGTAGGGCCGTGAGAAGCGAGGGTTCGTAATATCAAGACTCGTTGTTCAATACTTCAATCACAATCACGATTCCTCGACACTTGAAGCCAAACAACAAGAAGTTGCTTCTTGTCTCATTTTTTCCTCCGTTTGATTCAGGTTCTACCTTGTTCATATGGGTAGTTGGTCATGGTAGTTAACTGTTTTATGGATATGAGCAACCAGAGATTTCAAAAAGACAGGGGTAGAAGTGAAGACAAATTCATCTGTTGCTACACACATACATATTGCATAATAAAGAAGTCTAATCAATTTTTAGCAGAGCCTAATTCTTATAACTAATTTATTCCTCTTAATAACAGAATCACTTAAATTAACTAGTTCTGTCTTCTTGACATTAAGCAACTATTACCTTCGATCCTAATCATAAGACCTTGTTTATAGTCTATTAAGGTCTTATAATTAGAACCAAAAATAATATATATTAATTACTACTTGTAACAGGCTTAGTAAGAATTTAAAGTAAATATCTTTCGAAAACGTCACTCCTCAACTCATAAAAGCTTGGTGCGTTTGGGTAATATACTGTTCCCACAAGCGGGAGGGCTGAGTTTGACCTTTTGGGTGGGAATTGTGACAGGTCGGATTCATTAAAAACCCAGACCAAAAAACAAAAGGAAAAACAAACCAGGGATGGTCCATGTGCGTGTTTATTACCCAGTGACCAACGAATGAAGGGCTCAACTACAAAGGAGAAAAAAATCCGAATGAAGGGCCAAGAAAAACGCGTGAACGGCAGGATTCGAACCTGCGCGGGCAGAGCCCACATGATTTCTAGTCATGCCCGATAACCACTCCGGCACGTCCACGCTGATGTTGCCCTGTCTTAGTACTAGCTACATACTGATAATTAGAGTGATTTATTAATCCATTTCATGACTCTCAAGAAATATATTTATGTATTTTTCTTTCAACTCATTTCTTACTTTCCTGTATGTGAATATTTAGTACAAGCTACATACTGATAATTAATTCTTGTTATTCCTCTAGTCCTTGATATAAGACCCATTTAACTAATTTGATTAGATTAAGAAAATTAGGTAAGTTAGTTAATTATAAGAAATGTGACACGTTTTTCCTAAAATATCATAATCATCATTCTTAATACCCCATCTCTCTTCTATTTGCTTGTGGTTAAAGAAGTATCCATAGGGGTAATTTAGAGAAAATTGATAAATATGATAAATGGATATTATATTTAGGACCAAAACTAACTCAATAATTGAGTCCTATATTAAGGACCGGAGGAGTATTTTAGTTCCAAGTTAAATGTATCATTTACTGTTTTAGTATAATTTTAAAATTAAGTAATATTACCTCTAATTTTAAACATAAGAGTTAATTTATAGTATAAATTGTATTGCAAACTAGCTTTTATATTTATGGCTAGAAGTAATATATAAATATAGATAAATATTAATTCATCTTAGTTGTACCTCGGTCTCCATCATATTTTTATCTCTAAGCATAATCTTGAATTCACAAATTCATGACTCATAAACAATTCCCATATTAACTATGAAATTTTCAAGCCAATTAAGCAAATCAGAGTTATAAATATAATAATAAAAATCTGTCCTTTACTTCTTAAACTAATAAGAATTTCAAATTCACTGTTGCTTACTTTCTGGCACCAAACACCAAAGTCAACTCCAATCTCAAATTACCAGACATTAACCAACCCTACCAAAACTATACCATGACATGGGAGGTTGCCACTTAAAGATCAATTTTATTATTGTGGAATGCTTTTAATAATCGTTAGCTTCTTAGAGAGTAAAGGTCTAAAGGAGCAAGATTCCCAGGCAGATCTCACTATACTATAAGTGTTTATAATGCTCACGCTATTCCTTGAAGAAGCTGTCCTTTCATTTATTATAAAACTGAAACACTCTTGAGAATAGAGTTAGAGACTCAATGCGTTGAGGATTTTCAGATGTGGTGTTCGTCGAGCAATCTCAGCCGTTGATTAAACAAAAGATGCCACATGACTGAAAATGAACGGTTGAGATTATTCCACGCACGCCATGCAAGGTTTTTCTGATGCACGGAATCAGCATCCATTTATCTTATACCATGACTTCCAGATTTAGTGCGTCCGCAATAGGTGTGGACGGTGCCAGTGCTAACTTATTTTGCCCTATAAAATTGGAAGTGCTTATTTATGTCCTTATTCTCTCTTGTCTGCTTTTGACATCTGTCAGTACCTTTTATTATTATTAATATTATTGTTATATCCAATGTCTGGTTCATCTTCACCTCTACATAATGCTGGTTTATTCTTTGATAGGATCTGGGGCGCTTCAATTATGTGAAGAAGAAAAATGCTTAGATGAGTTGAGATAGTCGTTTGATTGATAATGCTATCTGATGATAAATTGTCTTTTTCACAAAGTGCTGTTAGAAAAAATTAATGTTTTGAGTCTTGTGGCTTTGGCATGCCTCTTCAAAGCGTATATAATTAGCGTGGGATGAGCATGCTGATAGTAATTTTAACGTTGATATCATTATATTCCCAATTTTTACTAAAAAATTGTTGAAATAAGGTTCCTGTTTTTGTTCTTGTCTAAAGGGATAAGAATAAACATAGGCACAAATGGGTAATGGAGGTGATAGAATCCATTCTGGGAATAATTTTCTTTAGAAAATGTATTTCTTGTCTGCTTGGGCTGATCTGTTCCATTTTGTCTGCTTTTTCTATTATTTTTTCCTGATATTCCCGAACTCCACTGATTAAAAAAAAAAACTTTAGTTTTATCCCTTACATTCTCGTAGATTGATCCCAACTGCAAGTATATAAACGCCTTTAGAGAGGACGGTTGGAAGAACAAGTAAGAATCCCATCGTGTTCATTTCCTTCCCAGTACAGAAACCTGATCTCAACCCAGTAACAACAAGGCTATGGAGAAAGAAGAAAATGAAGAAGAAGAAGATGATGATGGCTGCATACAGAACTTGCATGCTATGCTTATAATCTACTCTCTTCTCTCTGTAATTGGTAAGGAGAGAGAAGCAGAGAAAAGGCAAGTCATAAAAGGCAAAGGGAAGGCAAAGCCTTTCTTCCAGTTTTCCATATATCAAGCTGCATCTCTGTACTGGTCATATCAGACGGTATTTGCAGTTTCCGTGCAAAATCAGTGTTTGCTTTGTTGAATCTCCAAGGCCATGGTGCTCATTTAGTTTTCCCCTCTGTTTCTTCACCCACTCTTCATAATAGATAAGTCATTCTGAATGTTTCACTCAGAAACCTTTGTACTATTAACATGACCAAGCTGCAGAAACTTGAGGTGTGGTGAGTAGCTTGAGATCAGGGTTTGTAAGCTTCAGCTACCTGGTTTGTTGGAAGCCATGAATAAACTGTGTTACTGTTGGCTGTTCACATACAGCTTAGATTTTTCTGTTCTTTTGGGAAAAGCTTATCTTTTCAATTTTATACCTTTTTACGTCCTCTCCTTGTAGAGAACAAGGATCATGATTATGAGGTTTTTCACTTCTATGAGAAGAAATACAGAGGTGCTGCAATGTCATAGAAACAATCTCAATATTCATTTATTTGCTGAACAACACGCACAAGTACAGGTTAGTAATGGTGGGTGTAAGTAATTTGTGCAAAAGAAAAAATTGAGTTCTTCATCATGAACAAAGAAAAGGACAGAATTTCACCATAAAGGGGGGAAAAAAAGAAAAAAGAAGAAAAAGACAGAGAATGCCATCTATCAATCTCTTTCACTCGTAAATATATTCATTTGAATAACAAGTAAGGAGAGAAGCATAATCTGACTTTTTCACCTCCTTTTTAATGGCATAACCAAATAAAGGAGGCAATCACATATCAAACATCGAGGCATGATATAACCCTAATTTCTCACTCAACTTCCAGCTCCGGTAGTATGGGGCAAAATTTTCTGGCTACAAAATTGTGATTTTAAGATATCTATGGTAAAATTTACTAACGATTCTAAATCTGCCTGATATTGAAATTAGCTGCGTGGCCTCAGGCCATAACCATAACGTCTCTAATCCAGATCAAGTCTCTTCTTCATGTTTTCATAGACCAAGTAAGTGATGCTTGCAGATGGCACAACTTTGAGAAGATTAGGAAGAAGTCCTTTATAGAAGCCTCTGAACCCTTCATTCTGAAAGGTTCTCCAAAATGCATCAGACATTCCCTTGTAAGCAGCAGATGTGTTGGCCCGTTGTGCCTGCAATCTGAAAATCGCGATAATGTAGTATCAGAGCAGAACCAACATGAAATAACAAGAACAGTTTTTTCTTTTTAAGTAAGCACAACTATCTTCCGGTTGGAGGCCTGTTGATAACAAGAACAGTTCTAGCCTGCAAGAATAACTATAACATTGACATAATTCAATACCTGGTACGGATAACCTGTAGAGGGTATACACAAGTAGCTCCAAGAGCTCCAGAAATTGTTCCACATCCCAGTTGTACAAAAGGACCAGGTTCTGTTACAGTAAAAAAAAAAGACAAGAGAGAAGTTTGAGTCCATCAAGTGAATTTTCTGAAAGGTGAAAATTAATAATTTAACAGATAAAGCCAATTCATAAGGATACAGTGGATATCATATTACCACTATCTTGAAGAATATATCTCTTAGATATGTCTTTCAAGGTCTCATATGCAGTGAGATCAATGCCAGCGTAAGGAATTATACCAAGAAGAGATGGAACAAGCCCTCGGTAAAAAGCTCGAGGCCCCTCTTGAACCCATATGTCCTTTGTCAGAGTCCCAAGCTTAGGAGCCCTTCCACCTTCAGAAGCACAAGTCTGTAACCTAGTTTTAACGAGATCCATTGGATAGACAACAGTTTGTGCAACTGCCCCAGCCATACCACCAGCAAACAACCTTCCACTCATGCCAATATTCGCATCTCCTTGAGCATCTCTGATCACGTTTTTTAACATTTCATATGTATAAAATTTGATGGCACTTTCCGGTGCTACCTTCACAACATTTAATCCATTACCCCGGAAAAACCCCAATAAACCATCCTGCTGCCATATCTTCTTTATTGCTGGCATAACCGAAGCATTTGTGGTCTGAACTTGTAAGACAACCTTCAGGCGATCGAGAGGAGCAGTTGCAGTACGAGAAGCAGCTCCTGCTATTCCCCCTGCAATGAAGTATTTACTTTGATTCACATGCTTGCTAATACCTTCTGGAATGACAGCCTGTTCTCCAATGTCTACGAGGTATACCCTCTCCCAATGGTGATATATATTTTCAATAGTTGCTTCATGAGGATAGAGTAGAAGAAAATCTCTCCATTCTTCAAAAGTGATAATTCCATTATTATCTTTATCAACATGCTCCACAAAGCGAGCAAGTTCCTCATCATCCATCTGGATCCCTGCAATATAGAAGCAACCATGGTTCATGAATAATATATTACAGAAAGAATTGAAATAACATGGTGGAAAAATCATCCGCCAAAAGCAAATAAGAACAGAATCTCCAAAATGTATCAAAGTGACAAGACAGATTTTTCCATGTAAAAAAATTTAATCAAGGAGAGAAGTCTCTGAATATACAATAGAATAAACCATAAAAGATGGAATCAGGCATCCCCATGCGGATCAAAAGACTAATTTTCAGATGTAAGATAAAAAACAAAAAGGTTTCTCAACAAAAGAGGAAAACTCCCTATCTTAATTACAGTATCCACGCCAGTTTGAAGTGGCTGTGAAGTGTGGACCACCAAACAAGCATCACTATACTTTCAAACACTTCTACAACGACTTCAACTTCCCATTGTGTAAGTTTCTCAAACGTGATGTTAAAGCCACAGGCAATGAAATTTAGGGAGACATAAAGTTCTATAATTACGTCTTGACAAACTTATGCAAAAGGACAAGGGTAGAAAGCCACGGAAAACAAATTGGATCGCTAAAAACTCCAAGGTACAGAAGCATACAGAACAAAAGAAAGGAAAATTATAATAAGTAAGATACTGGTGCAAGTAAAAACAGAAACGTAGCGTAACAGAAGGAAGGTAACATCATAGCAGTCAATGACAAAGACAAAAACGCGCGCGCGCACGGAAAGAGGGTCACCAAGAAGATTACCAGCCTTAACAAGTGCATCCCAAAGCTCTTCAGGAAGAATGCAGCCATTATGTTCGACATCAATAGCTTGAAAGATGCGGTAAAGTTCTAATTCCTTATCGTCCATGTATCGTCGGAATTCATGGTAATCAATTCTCCCATCCCTGTTGGCATCGCAGACCTTAAAGAGCTCCTTAGCGTACTTATACTCCGACGGAATCTGCAGGGCGGACAGGCCAGCCTCAATCTGAGCATAATCCAGATACCCCTTATTGGCAGCATCGAAAAAATTGAAGAGGCTACGAATTCGAAGATCTCTCTCGTCTTTGGTTTCACGTAAAGCAAGGAGGACATGATCAATCGAAACCGATCCCTTTTTTCTGACGGAATTGTTACGACCACCGCCTACACCGCCATGATCGCTAGCTTGGGCGACGGTGGAATTCCCTAAAGCCTTGGATTTCGCTTTCGGGTCCACATTGGAATAACCCACACGATCGACGTCCATAGCCTGGCCAGCCCCAGACATTCTTATATGCCTTCGATTTTGTAGAAAGAAACTCCCAATGGATTTTGAGCTTAAACTAAATTTCAAATGCAGCTAGGTGAACTCAGTAGGGTCAAAATGTACAGGTCACAATAACATGACCTCCGATAGACACCTGACTAGTTACTACACCTTCGTGTTCAATTATATCCAGAAATATCAATAGAAAAATCCTGCTGGTGATAGCGATTGAACTGAAGGCCAAAATCTCGTCACGACGAAGAATTTACCTGAAACCGAAACTTACAACTGGGGACAGTTTTAACTTCCGCTTCAATCAATATCAGTAAATTGAAGAACAGCGTTGTGTGTACTGGTCCCCAATGAGCCAATTAAACTAGCTTTCTCTTCTTCCTCGACAATTATGGAAGCACAAAGGAAGAAACTTTGACATTGTCCTCCAGAATCAAAGACCTTTCTTAACGTTAATTGTCAAGCACAGTCCTGAATTTGACGGGGTTTTCCACAACAAAGACGGGTGAGAGAGAAAAGGGGGAAGGGTAGGGAAGGAAGAAGACAGGATCTTATTGGATATTCTTCCACACAAGTGCAACAATCTGACCTTGAATCCGTTGCCCCCATACAGTTGAATGTTGATGGTTTTGCCGCTTCCTGTGTACCCCAACGATGGATTTACCGAACCATCACCATATTAAAATGATGCGAGATGTGGGTTGGGTTGGATGGGCTTGAAGTTGAAGGCCTGGACACCTTATATAGCTCCACCGTTCTAGAATTTAAAAACCGAGTAAGCCTGTCAGCCGGTGACACAGTGGTTGAAGACTTTTCGTTTCAGTCAAGTTTGGTGATTGGTATATTAGTTTTCAAATTAGGAATGTGATAATTTCAAAATCTTCATTGAATCTTGGTCAAAAATAAAATAGGAAATTCTCAGCGTATGGTAAATGCAAGAGCAGTGTTTTGATTTACTTTCTTATTTTATTTGGATGTAGTGTGTAGTTTATTATCTGAAATAATTAAAACTTATCATTAACTAAATCGTTATGATTAAAAATAAATTGATTTATCCATTGGCTGAATGAATATTAATTGATTTAATATATTTATTTCTTATTTTTATTAGAATTAAAAGTTAAATTTTTAGTTTAGTTGTTGTGAAGAGGATTGGATAAATATTAAATAATTTTGTATGATAAATATCTAAATTACACGAATAATGTAAATACATTGACGATTATTTAAAAATATATGTTACAAATAATTTACTTAATCATTTAAAGTGATGAAAAGATCACTTTTTAAATTTAAAAAATTTTATAGAATAATTTAATAAAATCTAAACGACTGTTGAAGCAAAGAATAAACGTATGAAATGTTTAGATAAAATTAAAAATTTTCAATTATTTTACATTTGAAATATGTCATATTTTAAATATAACACCCACTAGGTGCCTTTTTTCATTTAATGTGGGTCTAATAAATTATATTATATTTGATGAAAGACATAAAATTAAATCTGTAGAGTGATTTTTCTTGGCCAGTTTATTACAGAGATTAGAGAGGACTACGGTTAATTCGTTTGCTTCAGTTCCTAGATAATGAAAGGATGGCCTTATTTGAATTTTGAACCGCTGAACATAGCAGCAGCCCATAAAAGAAAGTGACTCCCAACAACATCAGTAAGTACATTATAAAAAATATTATATTTGTTTTAATAATACTTTATTAAAATATTAAAATTTTAATATTTAATACTCTTCCGATTCTAAATATAAGACCTTTATACACACTAGTATAAGGTCTTATATTTAGGACAGGAGAAGTAACTTAGATACTATTGTTATTTACAAATCTTTACGCACAACTTACAAGTCGATTTTTAAAATTTAGAAATCCTCCAAAAATTTATTGACTCCTAAATTTTGAGTTTTGTGTATATAGTTTTTTTTTTTTTTGGATTTCTCCATCCGGTATCCCAGGGCAATAGACATCTTTCAGCCGTGACAGCGGCCCCAGACTAATCCGGATCGAAGGCTTGCAAGGAACCTTTCGGTCGGCGCCCTCTGGCCCCTCAGGGTGCTGCGTTCCCACGACTCGAACTCGAGACCCGTGGTTAAGTTAGGACAGCCCCAGCCAGCTGACCTAACCCCTCGGGGTTGTGTATATAGTATTTTTAAAACTTTAAGTTGTGCGAATAAATATTTTTGCCACATTGTTCAATTAAAAAAATTAAAAAAATAAATAAATGAATGACAGGATATTTTTGCATAAATAAAACAGCTTAAAGGGATTATTCTCAAGTTTAGAAAATAGAAAGACTATTTACACAAAATCCAAAATTTAACATTGTTATGATAAATTAGCTTTTTTTCCCCCCTCTCAACTTGATTTAATTTTCAAAACATGCCACACAGTAAATGATTAGTTTTCCAAAATGTTAGGTGGAATTATGGCATCAAAAGTATATGCCTCTCTTTTCTTTGTACCTTCATTTAAATCCTGCATGCTAGGGCTCAATTACAGATGGCTTAAATTAGAGAATGACTTTGTCAATAAAAATATATCGAGTATATATTTTTTAGATCACATTCAAATGTTGTCAAAACTTAGTCCAATTCAAGAGTCTCCAACATTACATCACCGTTGGTAAAGTTTACTCTTTTGATGATATTTATATGTTACGTTCAGTATGTTTTACATAAACTAAAAAAAACTTTAAACTTTGTTAACTCTCATTTAAAATTTATCAATTTTTTAAATTTATTTTTGTTTAATATATATTATACTTTATGTAAACAAAGTCAACACAATAATAAATTAGAAGTAAAATTGTACATTTATATGAAAAATTTTTTTATTGTCGTATAAATAAAACCAAAAAAATCCTCTCTCTATCCTATAAATAAGACAAAAACAGTAGTAAACTACTATTATTGCATGTGTTTTGTAGTATAGTACTACAAACACGCTACATATTAATTTATATTTTTTTTGTGAAAATATTAATCTATACATTTGAACTACACACATATATATGTATAAATATATTTATATAGTCTGACAAAAATAAACTACATGCACATAAAGCAGGGGAATTGATGGCTGTGGAAGGAGGGAGCCGGAGGAAGCGGGAGCAAAGTTAGTGGGAAGAGGACCTAAAGTATAGTTCAACGACGTTGACCGAAGAGCATGGACCAGCCACGTGGCACGCGTTGACCAGGCCTTTCTTTGTCTTTCCCAGAGCCACAATGAAATGAATTTGTTTGTTTTACCCGAAGGAAACGAATCCACCTTCAACTCCGTAACACAGACATGGGGCACAAAGACAAAGAGAAATCCAAAGACAAGAAGGACAAGCGTCGCCAAGAGATTTCCCTTCTCCGAACCATCCCTTATTCTGATCACCAGAGGTTCTTCTCTTCTCTTCTCTTTTGAACATACCCGACAGTTATTGCGGTTATTACAGTTATAAATCATAGTTCAGTTTTTAACAAAAAGAGAGGATTCGCAGGTGGTGGTCCAAGGAGACGGTTGCTGTGGTTACGGGAGGAAACAGAGGAATCGGGTTTGAGATCTCCAGACAGCTTGCTGGCCATGGATTGACCGTTATACTCACATCCAGAGACGCAAGTGTGGGCGTTGAATCCACCAAGGTGTTGCAAGAAGGTGGCCTTGACGTCGACTGTCACCAGCTTGACATATTAGACTCCGCATCCATCAGCAATTTTTCTGAGTGGTTGAAAGAAAAATTTGGCGGTCTGGATATTCTGGTCAGTTTTAGTTTCAAACTTCAAACTTTGTCCTTCTACCTAACAGTTCAAACCGTCAAGATTGGTATTATGATCATTTTTATGTGTGCATCAGATAAACAATGCTGGTATTAACTTCAACTTTGGATCTGATAACTCTGTTGAGAATGCCCGAATCGTTTGTGAGACAAACTATTTCGGCACCAAGAGAATGATTGAAGCTATGATCCCATTGATGAAGCCTTCTTCTCACTGTGCTCGCATTGTCAATGTCAGCACTCGTCTCAGTCGACTAAGTAGCAAGCGAAATGTAAGCAACTAACTCTTTATTTTCGCTTGCGCGCGCGCACACACACATATATATGTATGGCAATGAATGTATTTTTCCGGTTCTAAATATAAGACCCATTTTATAGTGTAAATTATATTATAAAATAGGTCTTATATTTAATACCGGAAGAGTATTATGTATAAGTGATTGATTGTTTTTCCCATTTTAAAGTTCTACTATACCACCCTCTCCTGTTGATTAATCTATGACCTTTTGGTTTTTACTTCTGTTCCATATGAAAATAATCAATAACATACATATGGAATCCTACAATATGAGGGTAACAATGGAAGATTTAATTAAATACTTGCCATGTTAGAGGATCTAAAGCTGTAATTCTCAAAAATTACGAATAATTGACATTAAAAATTACTATTAGTAGAAAAGAATATTAGGACTCTTTTAATTAGGAGGTGAGCATAATAATGACAACTAGAAAGAGTCATCACCAATAAAAAAAACCCCGAAGAGTAGTGAATTAGATTTTCATTTGTATCGTTCTCACTCAGTCTGCCATCTTCTCAATAACCTTTCATCAAGATAATAAATAACGAAATAGACTGAATATGAACCTTAACTTCAATTGGTTAACAAGCCACACATTCAGGATATTTTAATTGGATAACCAAAACATTATAATATAATATGAAATAATAATTAATATATGAAACACTCATCTTCCCTCTCCATTAACAATCTACATCTTCATATCCTTTCATTGGAATGTAGAAATACACGAAAGTGACTCAATATCAGAAGCATTCTTAGTCCTCTACAGATGTTGTTATTTTGGCTGTGAAAACTGATTTATGGATTGAGTGAGTGGCAGAAACTGGAGAATGAAGAAGTGAAGGCACAACTAAGCGATGTGGACAACCTGACAGAGGAAATGATAGATGAGATGGTAAACAAATTTCTGCAGCAAGCAGAGGATGGGACATGGAAGGAAGGAGGATGGCCTCCATCACACACAGACTACACAGTATCGAAGCTGGCTGTGAATGCCTATACAAGGTTCATGGCGAAGAAGCTATCAGAGAGGCCAGATGGTGAGAAAATATACATAAACTGTTACTGTCCAGGTTGGGTGAAGACTGCTCTCACGGGCTATGCAGGGACCATCACAGTTGAGGAAGGTGCCGATACTGGAGTATGGCTTTCCCTTCTTCCTGATCAAGCTATTACTGGAAAGTTCTTTGCAGAGAGAAGAGAGATCAAGTTTTGAGAAGCTTATATTAGTTATAGAGCTTCACTTCATATTGCTGCCACATTTAGATGCTCCAGAAAGAATCTCGATCAGAAATCTGGTTGTGTGAATGGGAAGCGATTTGTTCATGTTATTTGCACTGAGATGAAAATGATAGATACTAGAATGGACCTGATGAAAGTATTGATGTGATATTAAGCACTTAAATGATCGTGGGTTCAGAACATGTTTGATTATTTTAAGCATAAGTTAGCTGGCCAGCAGTTTCAAGTTGTTTCTGGCTTTATGCATCATGTTTAGCACTTTTATTTATTTATGTATTTATTTTGTTTTCCAGAGGTAAATTCCTTCTTTTGTATCTGTGATGTTTCATTATAGTTCAAAGAAAGGACCGATATATTTATAAACGCATTTTATTAACAAACACCTTGCAGCTAAGTGGTATGTAAATTCCTCACAGTGCGTTCTAAATTTTGTGTGATATAACATGGAAGATGGTGCTATGGTTAAGTGAATTTTTGAGGTACATAACTTTTTGTTATATCTATTGCCATCCTTCACCTTTCATCACAGAGGAGGGGAATGATTACAGGTAAAGGGATAAGGGGTGAGCTTTTGCCATATTTTCTCTTTTTATACTTTATAATACATTTGGTTTTTGAACTATACGTCGGGAGAATGAGGTTATGGATCAAAACAAGTACATCAATGAAATAATTAACACCTTGTCAAATACTCCTCTAGTCCTTAAAAGTAAGACCCTATTGTTAGGAGAATATCAATAAGGTTGATTTGAAAAAAAATTAATAAAAATATGAAATAACTTTTATATATAGGATTAATATCAACTCTCTAATTAGGTCTTACATCAATAACCAAAAGATTTTTTTTCCTTATTAAAAATTTTAAAATTATAACAATTTTCAAAAACTACACATACATATTGTAAAATAAAAGAGATTTTGGAATAGAAGAAGTAACGGTGTTGACTTGAATTACTATATTTTCCATCCAAACCTAAATGGCAGAATTTGATAGCTAATTGTTTATATATTAAAAAAATTAGTTTAATTATTTGTAAAAAAATGTAGACTAATTTTTTTAAAATATATGTTTTAATTATTCCTCCGATCCCTAATACTACCTTCAATCCTAATTATAAGAGCTAATTAACGAATTTGAAAAGATTAAGGAAATAAGTTAAGTTAGTTATTTGTAATAAATAGGTGTTGTCTTTTCTAAAATATCCTTACTAATCAAGCTTATTAGCTAGAACGATCATTATTAGAAGGATGACCTTAGAAAAAAAATACATAAATATGAGAGACAAAGTGGATTGGGGTCTTATAATTAAAACCAAAATAAAAGTCAAACGAGGTCTTATATTAAAGACCGGAGGTAGTATAAAACATATTTAACTAATTTAATTAGATTAAGAAAGTTAGGTAAGTTAGTTAATTATAAGAAATATGACGTTTTTTTCTAAAACATTATAATCATTTTTCTTAATATCCTCCTTTCCTCTTCTACTTGATTATGGTTGATGGAGTATTCATGGGGATAATTTAAAAAAATGATAAATATGAGACATAGGTCTTATATTTAGAACCAAAATTAACTCAATAATTAAGTCCTCCTATATTAAGGACCAGAGGAGTATTATTTGTATTGGAAATGCCCTACTAATCAAAACATCTCCTTTAATATGTGGAATCAATAGAAATAATTTGAAAAAAAAGAGAGTTAAGGCACAAATTTGTTTTGCAAGTTTTCATTTAAGAATGTTGGCTATTCAAAAATCTTTTAATGCAAATTTGTCTTAAAATTTTAAAATCGTAGTAATTTTGCCCTGTTAACAGTGAATCACTATTTTAATTATTAATGATAATTGTTTAATGGTAAATGACAAAATTACTACGAGTGTTTGGACTGACATTGGGCAAAACTGACTTCTAGCTCAACTGATTTTTGTAACTGAAATTAGAGTAAAAGTCAGTTAGAGTATGTTTGAATAGGTGTTTTTAAAAAGTCAGTTGAAAAAATTAAAAATTGTTTGGATGATTAATGAAAAAGTTAGTTTAATTGTAAAATGACTGAAAATGACATGAACTTTATTGAATAGTAGTGTTTGAAATTTTATGTTTTTAATGTGATAGTAGTTTAAAAAATACGTAAAATTATTATGATAAAATACAAATAGTTTATTTATGAAATTATAAAATAAAAATATTTGTTATGAAGAAAAATTTAAAAACACATTGTAGATATATAATTAAATATACATAATGGACAAACATGAATATCAATTAAAATTCATTTGGTCTGAATAAAAACTCATTATGCTAATGAAGAAGATAAGGCAAAGAGGAAAATGTGAGAGTAAATCTAGGATGCTCATTTTTAATAATCACCGTTTGAAAAGTCATATTTTTCTCCGTTGAGTCCAACTGAAGTTGAAGGTCAGAAGTTGGTTGGAAAAGTTAGTCCAGCCAAACAACAGTTTTTGTCCAACTAAGTTTGCAACCTCAGTTTCATCATTTTTAATGAGCTTTTGGTATTTGTAACTGTGATCCAAACATAATATATATTTTTAAATTTTTAAGGTAAATTTGTATTAAAAAAATCCTGGATGATCATAATCACTCTTAGAATAAATTTACATTTTAACTTAAAAATAAATTAAAGCTTTATATTTTGATTTTTTTTTGTCTACTTTCTCTTTTAAGTAGGAGTGACTAATAAATAAGGGAGAATTATAATCAGGTTTTAATAATTTTTTAATACAAATTTACCTGAATGACATGACATTTAATAATCACAACTACTAACTACCAACTACTCTCATAATGACACCTAATAATGGCAACTACTCCACTTATTACAAGAGGACGAAATAGACTACAGGACAAACTACTTTAGTAAAAGTGGATAACGACATAAAGTAGGATTCTGGCGGGTCCCACATTATCTTCAGAGTATCCCAAAAAGGAGCTTTTCTGATAATGATGTTCCCTAGTCTTTATAGATAGGCTCGTGGCTAGGGGATAGGTTCATGATGCCTTCTGGGTCAGGGTCATCTGAGTCATAGTGTCTCCTTGAGCTTCTTGAGTAGTAGTAGTCTTCGAGTTCTGGATCAGGGTCTTCTTGGTTAGGATCCTGGGATTCCCCTGCAAGGAATGGGAGTTGTGGCTGGAAACTTGGCTGAGGGAGATAGAGTCCTTCAGGCTGAGTGAGTTGAATTTGTGAGTCGTTGTCACCGTCATAAGGGTCTTCGGTGGCTTCTGTCGGTGGAGGGACTTGTGACCTATTTGGTGGAGGTCTGACAGCACTCAGGATGAAATCTCTCTGGAATTCTTCAAGTGTTGTGTTGCTGGCAGACGGTGAGTTTGGAGGGAAAGGTCCGAGAGATAGACATGAAGTGTCTTCTCCCGTGTCAGGCTGGTTAAGTGCAGTTAATGTCTTTCCAATTTTTTCCATTAGCAATGCTTCCCTTCTTGGCCATGAGGGGGTGGTGACCTGGAGGATCAGACGGTTGTCTGTGTAGAGCCTCTGGTTAGCACTTATTCCATAGTTCCTGAAAAAGGTATACAGACAGAAAAACCTTTTTTGTTTGGGAGTTGGTAAGTCCCAAATATTATGTTCTTTGAGAATTTTCCAGAGTTTTCCTCTCCAGTAGGGAAGAGGAGCTATCATCTCAAAGAGTGTGGTAAGAGGAGAGTTTTCATTTCTGATGTCATTCAGGTGGTCATGGACGACTACAGCTGAGAAGGCTATGGCACAGGTGTAATTGGCTGAGACAGACCAGATGTACCATAAAAGTTCTTCTGGTATGGGTCCTTTGATAATGGGAACAGTGAGGTAAGGAGCATCGGCATCAAAGTGCTGAGGATAAGGGTGGATTCCAGTATCTACAAAAACACGGTGGAGCCAGTAGAACATAGTACTTCTGGCAAGGTTTTGGACATCTGCTGGAGATTCAGGACGGGATCCAGGAGGGAAAATGGTGGCTCTCATTCTGTGAGGCATTTCTGGTTCAGAGATGGTTAGGATGAAAAGAGGTTGAGGTCTGGAGAGTGACAGGAGTTTTGGAGGCTGGGAAACTTTCTGAGGTCTTGTGAGGAAATCTGCTATGATGTTCTGGTGTCCTTTGAGATGATGAACGGTGAATTTATAGCGAGAGAACCAGTCTTTCCATCGGAGTAACTGGCTGTCTGGCAAGGTCTTTCCCTTGGGATCAAGCATTCTTGGAAAAGACGTATTGTCCATTTCTACTCTGAATTGATAAGGACTGAGATGGAAGCTGAACTTCTCGATTCCTCTTTTGACAGCAAGGATCTCCTTGTAGGTAGCATGATAATGCTTTTCTGACTCCTTGAATTGTCCGCTTGCATGTCCACAGTAAAATCTCTTTCCATCTATCTCTTCAATTAAGACAGCTCCCCAAAAGTCATCACTAGCATCAGTCTGGAGGATTCGCAATCCTCTGTCAGGGATCTTTAAAGGAGGTGGTTGCTGTGCAATTCTTTTGAGGGTCTTGACAGCTGAGGTCTGCTCTGTCCCCCACGCGGGAGGATTCTTTTTGAGAAGTTTGAACAGCTGGCTGGTATGATTTGACACATGAGGGATAAAATCCCGAAGATAATTAATAATCCCCAGAAATTGTTGGATTTGCTTTGTGGTGAGATTATCGTCTGGGAATTTGAGTAATTCTTCTGCAATGTGTGGTCCAGGATAATACTGACCATTTTCAAAATGCATTCCGAGAAATTCTATGCTGTTGACACCTATTTCACCTTTCTTTGCCGACAACATAATCCCGTATTTTTCAATTATTTCCCCGAACTGGGTCAATAAAAGTTTATGGGAGTCCTCATCTTTTGAGAAAAGTAAAAGGTCATCAATGTAAATGAGGAGGTTATCAAGCATAGGTTCAAAGATTCTGGTCATGGCCTTTTGGAATAGTGATGGGGCAACCTTAAGCCCAAATGGCATGACAGTCCATTGGTATTGGGCATTTGGAATACAGAAAGCAGTTTTGGGTCGATCTTCTGGGTGGATACCCAATTGCAGAACTTCCTCAAGACTAACAGGAACATTAAGAGAATGGTATCAAAGTCTCAGCGATTACCAGAAGATAGCAGCAGCCAGAGTTGATAATGCAGGAACTCTCCTAGGACTCATTCATAAGGAATTCATTGGTGACTTCCAGATCATTAACAAAAGGCATCGCCAAGAATAC